CTTTTGGTGTAGCTATTTCATTAAAGTGGAACCTCTGCTTTGGTGGTCACCCAAAACAATCAATAATTTCTTTAATTTCTGCTTTCTAGGACACAGACACCAATCTGTACCTGTGAACTGCTCTGTGGGATTCTCCTAGAAACAGCCCTACTGCTGACAATCATCTATTGGAAAATCAGCAACCTGACAATCAGGTTTAAGTCAGAAGTTGATTAATTACTGTTCAGTGTTTTATCAGCTCTTCATGTACTACTGACAAATGTCTCACAGACACACCTTACTATTCGCCAATGTGTCAAAAAATCCTTTTTTTTTTTTTTCTTCATGCTTTTCCCCTTGGAGGTATGAAATTTGGTCTTAACCCCATTTTACAGACTGGGAATTGAGGCAGAGGTGAGGAGGAAACAATATAAGAGCCAGATTTTTGAAGGCTTTCAAGTCACCAAGAAACTGTGAAACAGTCAGTAACTTGTGCATTTTGAGGGAAGGACAAGGCAGGGTCTTTACCTCTTAAATACAAATGGAGGTCTGAGAGGCTCAAGGCTGCTGATCAAAGCAACTGCAGGAACAGCACCCCACACACCAGGTCCCTAAACACAGACATAAAGGTTACTTTTGGAACTTTAACTTCCCTCAGTGGAAGGGTTCCTGTCTTGCCCATAATGCTTTGAAAAAAGTGCACACTGTACAATAACTCAAAGTGAAGTTCGGCCTGTTCAGAGAGCAAAAGCAAATCTAGCCAGCTGTTTCTTTGAACAGCACAAACGTGTAACACAGCAGCATATGCATTGCCAGTTTATCAGGAGTGGCATGAGTACAGACCATGTTTTTTCACAAAATGCAGAGAATCACTGAATGCAAATGCAACAGATGCATTTGGTAATGTGACCTTCATACAGGGAAAGCAGCAGGTAGSACAGAAGCTCTGTGGAAGGTGAGGAGATGAAGAGTGCTCCCTCTAAACAAAAGAAAGGCAGGGAGGTCAGTATCCCTTGATGTGGAGCTTATCAGTGTCTTCCTGCAAGGAGCAGACATCACTTTTCAAAGCTCTAGTAATTTTTTCCAAAATTGTTGATTCTAACATTGCCTGAAGTCAAACTCTTGCTCCTCAACATGAAATGGATAGCACAATTTACTGAAGTTCTGAATTTTTAACACATAGATTTTAAAAGACCACAACATTTTGTAAAGGTAAAATATGGAAGCAAAATATGGAAGCAAAATATCCTAGGACATTAACATCCCTCCACTCAAGGTATTCCAAATAGGCATAAATGACGTTTCTTGGAGATGTACATTGGTTGTATAATTAGTATCAGTCATCGTTCCCTCTGACAATGTGCAGCTTTCACTATTCTGTCCAGGGCTGCAATATCAAACAATTTCACAAGACATGTTATTTTCATCCTACAAACATCAGCACACTGGTACTTCCCCCAGATCCTCTGGTCRAAGTTCTCTGCAAAACAAAAACAGAAGAAAAACAAAAACCCCACCTTGAACATTCTTGTTCACCACATCTCCTCAACTGTTTTTCTTCTCCCTCCCTATTGATTCACAAATCTATGTCCATTATAACCCCAGTGCAAAACTTATCCCTCCAGGCCAGCATTTTAGCATATCCATATCTCACTTCCCCCTTCTCTACTGAGTTTCCACAAGGCAATTATACAAACCACTTTTGCAAGTCCTCACAACTGTTTCCTGCACTTCCKAACTTCTGTGAAAAGACACAGGATGATTGTTCCTTCTCTCCACTTCTGACATCACTGCCATTATATCCAAGGATATCTTCTAAAATTCCTTTCCATCACTCTTTTTGAAAGAGAAAAGATTCCAATGAATATTAAAGAATGAGAAAATCAGTATCTTCCTTGACAGTGATGGCTTTTTTTTTGAGATGTTTACATTCTTAACAATGACTAGGAAGCAAGTATCTGGTGACAAGGTTCCTATGATTGCAGTCAGTACTCAARGCCAGGTTGGATGGAGCTTTAAGCATGTATTTAGTGAAAGATATCCTTGTCTGTGGCAGACGGGTGGACTAGATGATCCTTAAAAGTCTCCTCCAATGCAAACTATCTGTGATTGTATCTTGTTCTATTAATCACAGCCTTTTTGATGATACAGATGTATTTTGTGCAGTATTTATGTTGTACACTCGTGACTTCTGTGTGCAAAACTCACAAGTTGTATTGCTTATCTCTACATTTTCCTGCACCATTCTTAGCCTGAGGTCTTGCCCTATCACTGAGGTATCTCTCTGTGGTATTACATTACAATAAAATGATTGAGATCTGWGGCTCAAACCATATGTTCTCCCGAATCAGATTCTTATCACATTGTTCTAGACTGGCAGATGAATCCAACCCTCTACTCTTGCAGTGATGGAGAGAAATAGGACAGTATCAGTAATGCTACAACCAAGTGTTTTAAAGTAGCAATGTTTTCAAGGCACAGCCCCCTGCTTATCAAAATACAAATCTGTTCTGTAACTTTTTCATTCCTAGAACAGTTTCCCAGGTGCAAGCTGATACAGACACCATGCTGACAATTGATAGCCTTCAGTTTGCACCCAAGTGGTTAAGAAAGGAGAACAGGTAAGGGGAAATGCTTATAGAGGATCAGACGCACAGATCTTGTTGCTTAATCAGYCCATAGATTCAAACTTTCTTGGTTCACCTGGAATTGAAGTCTTGATCCTTTGGRTACAGAGTACCCATCTATGGGGACAATATCTCCCATTGTATCTCCCCTCTCCTTTGGTGGTGCTGGTGTGTCCCCTCCCAGGCTGGGCAGCCTGGCTGTGCCTCTCTCTGGAGCACTCCCTGTTCCTCATTTGGGGTTCTCTGAGGTCAGCTCGGAGGTTAGGCAGGCAGKGCCCCCTCCCAAACACAACTGACTACAGACAGCTGCTGTACCAAATGCTTTTCATTATGTACCTCACACTCTCAACCCAGTGCGAGTGGGAGCAACATGGGCCCCCCTGTGCTGCTCCGCTACTCCTTTTCTGTTATTTGGGGTGAGCTGCACATTCCTCACATGCTTTGAATGTCATGCGGAGCCCTGGGGGAATCCTTAGAGAAGTGGGATGTACCACAAGAAATCTGGAGATTTCTATCTATGACACACATCAGGCTCCAAAACACCTTCCAAACTAAGGACATAGAAACAAAAATCCCATCTGCTTTCAAATGGAAGACTCATAAAGTTGTGAGTGATTATGTGATTTTATATCTATGACAGCTACGGAWCAGACACTCACAGACCCAAGAATGGCTGCATACTGCCTTCTCYCCCTTTACCATGGAAATCTGATCTACACTTTCTTCTCAGAGAGTAAATGTGGTACCCTGTACTGAGGACAGGAAAATAGTCTCCTAGTCTGCTCTGCCCCACCACCCTCAAAACAATTTGGGTCTGTGTTAAATCCAAGATGTCCAGTTCATGTTTCAGTGTCAGCTCAGAGTTTGCACAGAAGATTGTTATGGATATAGAAACATAGGACTGAAAGGACTTCCCGGCATGGCTGGAGGCAGTGACTTCAGTGGCCATTCCCCAACTTGCTGCCATGCATTTTATTCCATCACAATTTTCAGGCTGCCAGTATAATTGGCAATCCTGCAGGTTCTGAAGGGCCAGCAGGACAGGCTAGCATTCCCGGTAAGTTTCAACCTGTAACTAAAGCAAAGTATCATTTCCAGATGCCAGAGCTATGACAAGATCAACAGAAAGGTGAACAGTTAGGAAAGGGAGCTTGAAGGAAGCCTTCTTGCCTGCAGGAACTGAGCACACATCTAGAATACAGGAGCTCCCATAGTATTCTGCATCCCGTGCTGTAACTGTGGCRGCTGGGCTGGCTACCTCAGGATCTGCCAGGAATCACCTTGAAGGCAACACTRATAAAATACATGTCAGAGAAACACKTCYRTATGGTTGTTGATTAAATGYTACCACTAGGCTGAGGACCAAGCTTTATGGTCCCAGTTCTAAATACACATACCGACCATTCTCTTAAAAATATTTGAGATTGCAACTTATTTAAAGCACAATATACAAATTTTTGGAGTGCAAGATGTGTAGACAGTGAACAGAATTTGTACGACACCCATGGTGCCTCATGCAACTCAGACTACCAGGGCTCCTCTATGAATTCCAGTAAGAAATCCTAAAGAGCAATAGCATGAAACATTCACCACRGCTGCCACAGACATTCCTCAGGCCCTGCCCACTTGTCCTCAGCATAGCCAGTCTGGAACCGCAGTTAGGGTCCCCAACACAGCCATTTCTGAAACGGCGTGCCGTCGTTATTGCCACCTCCAYTCTGAATGCAGCACAGGGGACAGAGTCTGGCCGAACTACCAAGATCCTACTGCACTGAGCCCTGCACCGCTGCATGGAGCCGTGTACAGGACCACGGAGCCCTGCGCCCCTGCAGCCCGCTGACCGCGCAGGGGCTGCCCGTTGCCTTCCGCCGCGCTACCGACGAGCGGCAGCGCTCGAGGCTCCAGCGGGCCCGGCAGCGCTCGACGCTCCAGCGGGCCCGGCAGCGCTCGACGCTCCAGAGGGCCCGGCAGCGTTCGAGGCTCCAGAGGGCCCGGCAGCGTTCGAGGCTCCAGAGGGGCCGGCAGCGTTCGAGGCTCCAGAGGGGCCGGCAGCGCTCGACGCTCCAGAGGGCCCGGCAGCGCTCGAGGCTCCAGAGGGCCCGGCAGCGCTCGAGGCTCCAGAGAGCCCGGCAGCGTTCGAGGCTCCAGCGGGCCCGGCAGCGCTCGAGGCTCCAGCGGGCCCGGCAGCGTTCGAGGCTCCAGCGGGCCCGGCAGCGCTCGACGCTCCAGAGGGCCCGGCAGCGCTCGAGGCTCCAGAGGGCCCGGCAGCGCTCGAGGCTCCAGAGAGCCCGGCAGCGGCAGCGCGGGGACGGCGCGGGGGCGGCACCGGCAGGGGCGAGGCGGACCCGGCAGGGGGCGCACTCTCCGCTCCGCTCCGCTCCGCCGCCGCGCGCGTGACGCCACAGAGTGCGCCCGGCGTTGCGCTCCCGCTCCGTGCGCAGGATGGGCCGTGCGCGTCCCGGTGCCGCGAGTGACCCCCAGGCCGTGAGTGACCCCCGGGCCGTGAGCGAACCCCGGGCCGTGAGTGACCCCCGGGCCGTGAGTGACCCCCCGGGCCGTGAGCGAACCCCGGGCCCCAAATGACCCCCGGGGCCGCAAGCGATCCCCGGGGCCCGCTGCCTCGGAGAACGGCTCGGGAACTCTCGTCCCGGCTACTTCGGAGAGCGAGGGGAAGCGGAGGCTGGGACGGAGAGGCACTGCCGTCCCCTCCTCTGGGAGCCCTCTTGGCCCTGCCCGGCCCCGCCATCCCGCGCCGAGAGGCCCGGGCTCTTCTCGGGTCGCGGTRTTGGTCGGAAGCGGCAGCGCCGTGTCATTGTCCCGGCAGGTCCAGGGCACCGGTGGCAGCAGCGCCGTCAGCAAGTGCTCGGCGGCAGCGCGGGGCTATATCCAGGACCGGTTCCTGCGGCTTCTGGCGGGGCGGCGGCGGCGGCGAGCGCCGCTTATCCACCGGTGAGGAGCGGGCGCTGCGCGGGGCCTTGAGCTGCTCCGGCTGCTGAGCCCCGGTGCCCGCGGGGATCTCGGGCAGAGCCTGTGTCTCTGCGGGAGAGCCCGGACTCACAGGACAGGGGGAGGAATGGCTTTAAGCTGAAAGAGCGTAGGTTTAGGTTACGGTTCATTCATGTTAGGAAGGAGTTGTTCCCTGTGACGGTGGCGAGACCCTGGCTCTCGGGTTGCCCAGGGAGCTGGGCACCAGATGGTGCTTCATCCCTGGAACGGTCCAAGGCCAAGGCTCAAGGTTGGATGGGGCTTGGTGGAACCYGGTCTGGTAGGAGGTGCCCCTGCCCATGGYGGAGGCGTGGGATGAGATGAGCTTTAAGGTTCCTTCCACCACAAACCCCCATGCTCGGAGCTGTCRATTGTGCATGGCACAGCTTTTCGAACACATTTTAGGCAAAGTACACAGAGTGGCAGAGTGCAGCAGGGCACTGTSTCACCGAAGTGTAACCTTGTTAGACTATTAGTCTAGTGTTACTGTCTTCTGGACCAAAACTGAGTGCTTTCTCCTGAGTAAAATATGCCACCAGACTGGTTCCTAACTCCAGTGTTTAATGCTGCTGAAAACTTCTTAATATTTGAAAACGTACTAATAATACAATAACATCAGTAGTTTTCTCATTTTCCAAAATGTTACCGTTGCCATAAGGTATTTGATGGCCCTTGGAAGCCTGGAGGTCTTCTCCAGGGCTTAGTGAGACACTAGAATGTTTTTATGTGTGTTTGCAGAGTGTTTTAGGCTGATATCATTGTGGAATACATAATTCAAGGTAAATAGTTTAATGCAATTGAAATGGCTGTGAATTGCCAAATGAGTTTTGTTCAGGAGAAAATCAAACAGTGCAGAAGCTTGCATCCTATGAAGATGGGTGTGGCTCATCAGGAAACCTTCATTGACTTGTCACATGACATTGGCATGCCAAGCTGAATTCACAGGAATGGTTGTGTATTGCATTTATCAACACTGCAATCAAATTTGGCATGTCTTAAGACTATCTGGTGAAAACTTTGTCCCTGTGAGGCGTGAAGATAACATGCTTGTTGAAAGGGTGATGGGAGCTGGGATATAGCCAGGTGAATATATGATGAAACTAACTAAAAGAGAATGCCAAGGACCAAGAGGCATCAGTCCATGCCAGACTAGAGAAACGGTAAATGCTTTCCAGGAGTTAGACTGACTTAGTTCCATTCCTTCAAAAACCAGAGAACAGAATTCCTCTCCTGACTTTGCTTTTCATGTCTTTGTGTTCCTTTCTCACTGCATTAGCTCACACTCATTCATTTTGTTGTTACAGCATCTGATTTTGGGCAGAACTCAGCTATTGGCCGTGTGCATTGCAGGGGAGCATTCTCACTGTCTGGATTAATATATTTTAATTCAGAAAATATTTATTTATGCAAAACAGAACAGGTCCAGCTAGGATATCGCCAATTTTTTCTGGGTTATCCATAGTCTTRATGGTTAATACATGCACTGAGTGCAGGTGATCTGTATTTATCAGCAAGCTCTAGAAATGGCAAAATCATCTCCTAGTGCAGGTCTGTGAATGAGGTTATTGGGTAGAAGCTGAGAGAAAATAATCTTTGTTTTTTGAGATGGAAATTGCTAGTGATGGAGAAATTATGTTTGTGAACAATGATTACAACTTAATTTCTTTCCACAGTGGTTATTACATCCGTGCCCGTGCTGTAGATCACTGTGTTCAGGACTTCCTGCTGAAGACACAAAGCCTCCCTAGGACACAGGTGCATTTTCTCTGGGTCTATTGGCATCTCCCACTAAATGTGTGTATAATCTTTCTGGCATCTGGGCAATAACTCATTAGTGTGTCTGTTGGGATGCATTCCCAGCAGGGCACAGAAATCTGACTGGCAGTACTGTGGCTGTCCATGTGTCACTTTGGCAGAAGTATCTGGGAAGGGGCARTARCCACACAAAAATCTTCTGCCTCTTGAAGGAAGTTGCCTGATTTTTTCAGTCTACAGATGATATTTAATAMTTTTCACACCTAGATGCTCAAGATSCTGCTGGAGTTGRGTATAACCTTTTCTGACRTTTCCCCTGCAGATCCTGTCTTTAGGTGCTGGCTTTGATTCCTTATACTTCCGTTTGAAAGATATGGGTCTTSTGCATCACACTGTGGTATATGAGGTAGATTTCCCAAATGTGGCATGCCAAAAAGCTGCTCTGATCAAAGGAATGAAAGAGTTGTCAGCGCTGGTGGGAGACACTGAAGGGGAAGGATTAGGTATGGTATTTATGGAGAGCTTTTTTTGTACTAGAACAAGTAAACATAGCTTAACTCTTCAAAAAGTGAGAAATAGTAGGAGATCTGTGAAGTTGGAGATGAAAAGTGTATTAATTTAATGAAAAATATTGAAACAAATAATTTGTAATCATCGGGTGATAATAATAAGCCAGGATGGATTTGTCAGGAGCTGATTATGTCAAACGAAGGTCAGTTTTTTTCTGTTGCAATTTCTGAAATAATGTGAAACTTGAGCTCACTGGTACAAAAACAGTGGTAAACTGTAACATGTCCAGTGGTAGGTGATGAGGATGATGAAGTGATGGAACACATGGTGTAGGAGGGGAGGCTGAGAGAACTGGGTTTGTTCAGCTTTGGGAGGGAGGTGAGTCTTAAAGTAGCCTTCAGCTACCCATTGGGAGAGAGCAGAAAAGAGGAGGCATGAAGCAAATAGTCACGGGACAATGGTTGCAAGTTGCAAAAAAAGAAATTCCAGTGATGTATAATGAAAATGTTGGAAGCCCCATGAGTAGTTAAAAATGGGAACAGGTTTGCCTAGAAAGGTGATGGAATCTCAAGCCTTGGAGATAGATGGAGCTTGACTGGACAAAGCTTTGAGCAATCTGATACAGATAATTGCTGTGAGGAAGTATTTGGACAAGATGATTTTTAAACCTTCCTTTCAACTTACATTATGCAATGATTTATGGACTTGATAGGTAAGAGAGAAGGTTTGACTCTTAAGTGTCTTGACTGTAATAAAACATTAGTCATTGTGTTTCCTGACTCTTCTTTTTCCCTTCAAGGCAGGAATAAATAAGCCTTGCAAAACTACTGCAGAATATTGTGCCAGCTGAGTGCTGAGGGGCAAAAGGAGAAATGTAAAGTATGTAGATCACTAGAGGTTTCTCCTGTGTCTGTTTCCCTCCAGGATTTCGAGTAATGCTCTAGATGATACGCTGTAGAAGGTGAAATGTCATAAACCTGCAGGAAACACGGGGACTTKTAATAAGATGAATAACAGTAGGAATTTGTACACAAATGGTCTGGACAACRTGGAATGAAATGCAGTAGGGATGTACATAAGCTGCTGCATTTAGATGGTTTTAATCAAGTTAAATACAGATGGAAGACGTTATAGAGTGTGAGTTCCTGACTCGTAGGTCTTAGTGAATAGCTCTTCCATGAGCTTGTTAATTTTCTTCTTGAATCYATTCACATTTTTAATACTGATAGAGTCCTGTGGTGAAGAATTCTGTCCATACCAAGAATCTTCAAGCACTTAAGGGAAGGTGTCAAATAGTTGGGAATACTCTTTTCTCTGTGTCCAGCGGTCAGGAAGGGATGGATGGACAAGTTAGAAGAAATTAGAAGGGAATGCTCTGATGGGCTTCTGTAAAGGGCCATTTTGCCTTCAGGAACATATGCCTTTGAGAACAGTGTAGGTTAAATGTCGTCAGGACAGATACAGTTGGTTTGCACTGGTACAGAGACAGATTAAGTGATTTGTATAAGTACTTTACAGTTTGTTTTGKTTTTTTGTGKTTTTGACTGAAATGGTCAACAGGCCATAGCTTATCATGTTCTGATGGAGTACAGGGGTATGATAATACTTGCAGATCATAAACTGGAACTTTTTTTCTGAGGATGGTAATCTTTGTGTCAGGTTCTGGTGTTKGTTGAGACCTTAGAACGTGCAGTTTCAGGATTTAGTGCCGTTATACAGAAATTAAATCTGTTCAACAAGCCAGCCAATGAAGCCTAAGAAGCCTGAGGGAAATCACTGAAGTTCTGTCAAAGCAATGGTGCTTTCTTAGCCTAAAGTGAAAGGTGTATAAATGAGAACCCTTTAGGCTTGATTCTGAATTACAGTGGTTCTAAAAAATAYTCTTAAAATGAATCTAATAAAGCTTTGTTGTTATAATAGGTGTAAGAATTCTATAAGAAATCTGTTGGTGAAATTTACATTAGGAATAATGGAGTTTTAGTCCTGCATTCAATGAATTGTGTGGTGCCATCCCTTAGTGGTTCATGAAGTGATGGGAATTTTCTTATAGGTGTCCCAGAGAAATATAGTTGATGGACATAACCTTGTCAATGATTGCCTGTGGGTTTGATTTTCATGTTTGTCCCTTTTGGTCTCAGTATTGCAGCAGCACCATAGTGAGATTGTATCGTTTTTGTCTCCCAGGAGCCATTACCTTTTCTGGAGAGCATTATAAATTACTTGGAGTGGATTTATCAGATCTGTCTGAGCTGGAGAGAGCCCTGGAGGAAGCAGGACTGGATAATGAAATCCCCACACTCTTCATTGCAGAGGTGGTGCTCACCTACATGGAGAACACCAGGTCAGCTGGATTTTCTTCTCTTTCCCAGGTGGTAAAGGGAAAATAGCACGCTTCTGAGTACATCACCTTGGGCTGGGAGACCTGTGCTGTTGAAATGAAAGCCTCGCTAATTCTGTGGAGTTCCAAATAGCTCCTTACATCATGATTATGATGATGTAATTGATGTCCACATGATATCCTAAAAGGAAGGAAAAAGAAGAAAAAAATGAGCAATTTTGAGCTTTTTCTTYTSATCCCCTGCATTGTCYGAGCACATGGGGAGATGTTCATGGGTTCTCAGCACGACACTCTCATTTGTGTATTGCCACTTGTCAGGATGCCTTCCTAGCAGCTTTAGGGTGTTGCAGAAAGATACACTGCATCTGTTGTGTGATGAATGGGCCCTCAGTTTCATTTCTTATGCACAATATCCCAACAGGTCAGATGCTTTGATTCAGTGGGCAGCAGAGCATTTCCCTCAGGCATGCTTCCTGTTGTATGAGCAGGTGCACCCAGACGACCCTTTTGGACATGTCATGCAGCAGCATTTCAGCCAGCTGAACTCTGCACTTCACTCGCTGGCACAGTACCCTGAYTGTGAGGCACAGCAGAGGCGCTTTCTGGAAAAGGTAATCACCTGCAGCTCTGAGGCACACGTGAAGCATGATTTACCTGGGCAAGACTGGAACACCCAGTTACAGGTTGAAGCAAACAGGGCCGAGGCTGAGGCACTGCCTTCTCTGGTAGCATGACTCATCATTAGAAGGTGCCTCCAAATGGCTTGCAGCCTGCTGTCTCATACAGGAGTAATAGGCTCCTCTGAGACTTTCAGTGTAATAAATTATGTTTTTAAGATCTGTTTTCACCAGATTTTGGGCTGCTCTTACTTCAGCTAGACAGTCTTAATGGCTCATGCAGGTGTTTAATTTAGGGTATATGTTTTCCTTTGGGAAGTGAGTTTCTATCCTCCTAGRGATGATAACTTTGAGGGATTTCTCTTTTAGGGGTGGACTGAGTGCAGTGTCATGGATATGAATGAGTTTTTCACCTGTTGTATTCCAGAAGATGAGCAGCAAAGAGTGCAGACTCTGGAGCCCTTTGATGAGTATGAGGTAACCCTCCTTTATTCTGAAGATCAGGGTCCTGGCTTTGATATCATAAGGTATCTGCAATTTCTTATGGTTGCAAATCTGTATAGAGCTGCTGAGGCACAGGTGTTCTCGCAGGCAAAAAGGACCTTGGATCAGCTTAGTTAACACAAAGGCCACAGGGAGCTTCTGGTGRAGCTGGGGCAAGGAGCATGGTAAGAAGGCTCTCCTTGGTCTTAGAAAGGCTGCATGTTCCTTCCTTCCTGTGAGCAGTCTCTCCAGGAGATGGTCTTGTCATAGCAAACTGCTTGGTTGTATAAAAGAAGTTGTACATGTTAAAAGTTGACATGGATTCAGGGGGAAATTACTTTAATGAAAGAGAAGTCCATTAAGGATTACTGAATACATAAATGTAGACCTGATGTGCTGTTCCTGACTGCAATTGGTTGAGAGCATTCCTGGGGAAATTAGATGGCCTTATCCTGCTTTTTTCTGTTTCCATAGACTATTTTATTGTTTGCCATTGTTGGATACAGGTTACTAATTTCAGATATATTTTGGTCTGACTTGGTACAACCATTCSTGTATTAACGATTGAAACTCAACTATGACTGTTCTTTGCCATTTTTGTGTTAACTGCTGGCAAAATTCCCAACTATTTGGAGTCTAGAAGTGAAGRTAAGTGCGAGATAGTGACTTTGAGCAAAATATCATGTGGAGTACGTACTAGTTTTTGATTTTAGGGTTCTCTGGATATAATTCCAGAAATCTAATAGCTGCAGTATGAAAACAATTTAATGTGCTTGAATTTATTTTGCCAACATTGTCATATCTGCTCTGCTATATGAATGCAAAAATGGTGACTGAAAGTGCTGGCAGGTTTGCTAAGAAGTTCAGAAATGTCTGCTAGAATTTTGTAGATAAAGGCCATTGCTGATAATAGGGGGAAGGTAAAGACTTGGTATTGTTTTCCTTGCAAAGGAGGTTAATGTGCATGAGTCCAAGCTGGAAACGTGTACAGGATGAAATTGTGTGAGAGAAAGAGTTCTACAATTAGCCTTTGAGGGAAAGATTACGTAAGATCAAGTTCTTATTGTAAACAAGCTTGGTCAAGATAAGAAATCTAAAACAGACACCCGGTGTGGAGGGAGACTTAATTTTTAGAATAATTTGGCTAGAGRCTAATAGTGGATTCTTCCATTTTCAGTGTTTAATTTCTGGATGCCACTTTTCAAAAGAATCTTTTCACTTCTAGTACAGGCTGGGTCAATCAAGCTGATAAAATGGGCTCTTGTGCCTTTGAAATTCATGTGTGTGCTTTCTAGTCACATAGTTGCCTGAATATATCCCACCCAATGGGAATGAACACGCTTGATTCCCTTATGTCCATAAATGCCAGGGTGGACTCGCATTGCTGGCTTTCTGCATATTCCTTTTGCTTGTGCTTCTGCCTCAGAATGATTCCAAGGCCAGACTGTCCAGCACAGATTATGTTGCACCTTTGAACATTTGTGATTTCTTTGGAATCACTTATATTCCATGAACTTTGAGAAACCTTAATCCCTCTGGTATAAAGCCCTCACTCTTTCTTGTGACCAGAACTGAGAAGGTCAAAGAGAAGCTGATTCTGATGCCTTAGGAATAAGGCATCAATTCCAGAAATAAAAGCTTGCCCATGCAACATGTAGTTAAGCTGTGGGATGCCTGTTGGACATGTTAAAAGTTTATGTGAGTTCAAAGAGCAACTGGATAGGTTCATAAATGAAAAATCCATCAAGGATTGTTCAATACAAAAACATAGCTTCTTGCTTAAAAGATCCCTGAGCTGTAAATTTTTGAAGATTGAAATAAGAAAAGTATATTTACACACCTGTTCTTTCTCTGATTCAGCTTTACATCTCTGATTTTGGCCGCTGCCGGCAACAGTGCTAGGCTGTGTTGATCTTTGATTTGGTCATCCTGGCTGTTCTGAGATCTTTACTACTGCTTGTTGTATGATTTTGAGGGGGATTGGTTTTCCTTTGGTTCTTTCTTTCTTGGTTTGTTTGTTTATTCGTTTGTGTTTTCCTTTGTGCTTGCTACAGGAATGGCATCTGAAATGTTCTCATTACTTTGTGTTGGCTGCATCAAAGGGGATGGAACCTTCCTGGACTCCATTGTTACCCAGTGTGACAGGTACACACCAAGWAGTTTTCACACTACTATTTTATCTCATGCAGGCTTCTCTGAGAGGTTTTACGAGACATTGAAACCCTGGAAGGGTCAGATGGGATGCTGCTGTCTGGTAGCTTTCTCCACTTTTCTAACCAGGTTTTGCTGTCCAAAGCTAGGCCAGAGCCACAGCCTAATGCTACTGGTTCAGATCTTTCTGTTCTTTCAGGATTTTGAACCTCCCAGTCTGAACAGCTTGTCAGTTGTTCATAYATGAGCCCCTCCAGTGCACGGCTGCAGTGCCACCATACCCTGCTCCTCCACCTGTTTGTTGGGTTTTTTTGGATCTCTCTTGAATTTCTTCCTTCTCACCTCCGTACATGGCTCTCTGAGCCATTCTCTCCTTCCAGATCCCCAGAGGTTGTTCTGCTTTCTTTACTGCCCTGTCCAGCAGACCACTCAAGAGCCTGTCGTCAAGCTGTGCTTTGCTTTGTTATCCCTTGTGGGTGCAATTGCACCTGTAGTATTTMTGTTTCTGTAATTCTTTTAAATGGGTATGTCACTCTCTTTAGATGGCAATAAAGTGGTACAGCTGGGGAAAAGCCAAGACCAAGACTGTTTTCATGATAAAAGGGATTTGGTGGCAGTAACAGTCCAAGAAATTCATGCTCTTTGACTGCTTGCTTCCTTTTTCAGGGTGGAAAGCAGGAGGTTATTTTTAACMTGTTTTATATATTAGACTTCAGAGTATTGCACCACAAGTAGTTCTRGCTCCTGGAGAAAGCTCCTTGAAATGTGTGTTCTAGGGAGCAAGAAAAAGGGATAGGGCAGGRTGGCATTCCTGAGGCCARCAAGGCCACTGAAGCCACATGTTAYATCTCATCTAGATTTGAATATGTAGTGAAATTGAAGCTGAATGAATGTATGTAGTTAAGTGTACTGTGTGATTGTYATTGGTCCTTAAGYGAAATCCTTGAAGGGTCCTGAAAGCATAGTATTTGTCCTTAAATTAAGAAAAAATCTGACGTTTGCTTAATGTACTTTATTACAGTGAAGATACTTGATTCATTAGAGACAGGAATAGGGTCTTTCTGCTGCTGTCTCTATAGCATTCAAAACTGATAGTAAATGCCTTCTAAGTGTGGTAAATTGTCCATGCTTAGATTTTTTTTATTGAGAATGCAAAAGGTATGTCTCTAATACCAATAAATGCCCCCCGTTATCCTCTCAGATAGACTTGGGTCCCTGTTCAAGACAGTGTAAGTACTAAATCTTCCAAAGACATCACGGTAAGTATATTTTTGTGCCATGAAAAAACTCCTCCATCTTTAAAAGGTCAGTGTGTAAAAAGACATTTAAGCCCAAGGAGATGAAATTTCTTACATCATCAAATGGTAAAACAGGGTCTTGTACAAAGCAACATTCAGTGCAGGCAATTTTTCTGTATATGGCATAGAAAAATGGACTGCAAGCCRCTTCTCCTCAACCTCATCATTTCTTACAAGACAAGAATAAAGCCCTTGATTAAAAACATGTATATTCCAAACTGATTAAAAGAAAGCAACGTATACAATGTGTAGGCGAAGAAGAGTCCTGTGCTGAAAGTTTGTTTCATGCTAAGAGATACAGTATTTAGAGATAAGATATTTAGATAACTGGAAGTACTCTCCTATAGTAGGAGCATTGGAATTAACATTATTTGTCATGCTTCAGAATGCTATTTCAGTGCTTCTATGAAGGTAGGATCAAAATGTGGCAGGAAACTTTGAAATCAGCTTCCAGGTGTTTGTCTTTTTTCTGCCATTCTTTGCTGTTCATGTAGCCAAATATTGTCTTAATCAGAGAGGTGCTCCTTTTGGAGGTACTGCAGTGGTTTGTGTCTCGCTGCAGCAGTTTAGAACATTGCTCTCGCTTAACCAGTCTTACATCCACTCCATGAAAGCATTCTCAGAATTGCCAGGAGCTGAGTGAGCAGAGTAGGAGTTACAGTTGGTACTGTMGTAGTTTAAACYGTTACAGCCTGATTTCTAGGKCATACCAGATTATCTGTGCAYTGTCAACTTRCTCCTCAGTTTTTTCTTCTTGAAAAGCTTCATCTTGAAAAAAATGATGTGCTTACTCTCTTRTTTAAAATGTAGTCCTTGGTTTGTATTTGTGCGTAAATTCTTTGGTTTTCTTTGGCTTACAGTTCCTCGTCATGCTGGTCCTTTTGGGATGGCTGGGAGCATCYCTGCAGCAGTATGTGAGAGGCTCTCAGGAATTCCTGGCCTGAGACGTTACGGTCACCACTCTGTTCTTATAAAACCCAATGTGGTTCTCACCACAGGAGGCTTTGGGGAGGAGGGTGGACAACACTGCCGCATGAGAAATTTCCACGTGCTGAGTAAGCATGCAGGCTACTGGAAAGCTGTCTGTCTGACACAGAATATTCCTGATAAAAGATGGGGTGAGTTCCTGTACTGATGGCAAGTGTGAGTGGAATATCTTTGTGCTAAAAGTGAAAGAAAGTCTAGTGAAAGAGTGATGTCATGGCACAGCGATGCTGGCARTCACAGAGGTCTGAAGGTTCTGGTTGCTAAGTGCTGTGTCCTGCCCTTTGGTCACCACAACCCCATCCAGCACTCCAAACTGGGAGCAGAGTGACTGGAAAGCTGGAAAAGGACCTGGGAGTGCTGGCTGACARTGTCTTAACATGAGCCCAGGTGGACAAGAAGGCAAATGGTACCTGGCTGGTACCAGCCTAGTGTGGCCACAGGCCCAGGGCAGTGATTGTCCTTCTGGGCACTGCTGAGACGTTGAGTGCCACGTCCAGTTCTCGGCCTCTCACAGGAACAGAGATATTGAGGGGCTGGAGTCATAGAATCATAGAATGATTTGGATTGGAAGGGCGCTTAAAGATCATCTGGCTCCAACTCTCTGCCATGGGTAGGGACACCTTCCAGTAGACCAGGTTAATCAGAGCCATCCAGCATGGTTTGGAACACTTCCATGGATGGGGCAGCTACAACTTCTCTGAGCAACCTGTGTCAGGGCCTCACCACCTTCACAGGGAAGGATTTGTTCTGAATAGCCTATTTAACACTGCCCTTTGGCAGTGGGAAGCCGTTCCCCCTTGTGCTGTCACTCCAGGCCCTTGTCCAAAGTCCCTTTCCAGCTCTCGTGGAGCCTGTTTAGACACTGGAACAGGTGCTAAGGTTTCCCTGGAGCCTTCACTTTTCCACGCTGAACAGCCCAGACTCTCTCAGCCTGTCTCCAGAACAGATGGGCCTCAGCCCTGTGATCAATCTAGTGGACTCTGAATTTGTTCCAGCAGCTCCATGTCTTTATTGTGCTGGGGGCAGCAGATCTGGGTTAATAACTTCAGATGGGGTCTCAGAAGAGCAGCATAGAGGRYGAGAATCATCTTCCTCARCCTGTTGGCCACATGTSTTTTGATGCAGCCTGAGACATGGCTGACTTTCTGGGCTGCAAGCACATACTGCCAAGTCATATTGAACTTTTTGTTCACAAACACCTCAACCCTTCTCCCCAGAGCTGCTTTTGATACATTCTCTGACCAGTCTGTGTTTGTGCTGGGATTGCCGCAGCCCAGGCACAGGACCTCACCCTTGGCCCTGCTGAACTCCATGAGGTTGGCATGGTCCCACCTCTCCAGCCTGTCCAGGTCCCTCTGGATGCCCCTTCCTTTCCCTCCAGAGCATGACYGCACCACACAGCTCCGTGTCATTGGCAAATGCGCTGAGGGTGCCCTCAATCCCACTGTCCATGTCGCCAACAAAGATGTTAAATAATGCTGGTCCCTATGGAGACCTGAAGAACACCACTTATCACTGGTCTCCACTTGGACACTGAGCTGTGACTCTTTGAGTGAGACCCTCCAGCCAATTTCTAATCCATTGAGTGGTCCATCTATCAAATCCATGTCTCTCCAGTTTAGAGACTGGATGCCRGGTAGGACAGTGTCAAATGCTTTGTATRAGTCCAGATAGATGACATGTGTTGCTTTTCCCTCATCCATCACTGCTGCAAGACAATTGTAGTAGTGGCTGAGGTARCTGGTRGGGCTCAGCCTGGAGAAAAGGAGGCTCGGGGGCAGCTTCTCAATCTTAACAACTCCCTGAAAGGAGGGTGGGTGTAGGCAGGTGATTGGCCTCTTCTCCCAGGAGACAAGGGGCAGGACAAGAGGGAATGGCTTCAAGCTGTGCCAGGGGAGGTATAGGTTGGATATGGAGAAAAATGCCTCCCAAGAAAAGGTTTGTCCATGCCTGGCACAGGCTGCCCAGGGTAGGGGTGAAGTCCACATCCCTGGAAGAATTTAAAAGCCGTGTGAAAATTGCACTTGGGGACTTAAATTAGTTTTGACCTTGACAGTGCTGGGGGAATGGCTGTACTTGTTAATCTTAAGAGCCTTTTACAACCTAAATGATTATAAATTCCTTGAAAAAAAAAGACATCTGTGTGAACCACGATGTTTTGTATCTCCACAGGTGAGAGGTTGTACCATACTGTGTCTTGTCTCTCGGACACTCTGGCCCTGGTGGTAGGAGGACGAACATCCCCATCAAGTGCAGGCTTGGGAATGTTGTGGCTAAAGTTCCCCAAAATCTGTAATGCTTCAGACTCAAATCACATTGCAGTGGAGCTTGTACGTCTGCAGTCTGCTGCTGAAGCAGCAGCTTCGCGTTGGAGACACAGCGTAACTGAAACGACATTCAAAGGTAAAACACCTGGAAAGAGTGGAAATGGTTGTAGGTATGCAGGATCTTGCACTCRACCTTGTTGWAGTTCATATTGGCCACTCCTCAAGCCTGCCAGTAGGAAAGAAATCAAAGAGGCTTTGAGATCTCTTCTTGACACTTGAAATACAGTAATTTTGTATTTTGTTATCTACGTTATTCCCAGTAGCAAGTAGGATTGAAACCCACAGTAATCTGCTGTAATCCGTTCTGRAAGACTGATTCTTTGACATCAGCAGTGGCTGAAGTTATTCATTCTTGATCACGCCAGAAATATGTTTTGCTCTCTCTCTGAAGGATATTTTTTTGGGGAACGGGATCCCTAGCTCTTTATCCAGAAGTGTTTCAGAGGAAATACTACTTTTCTAGTAGCAATTGACAAATATTCAGTAGTTGTGAACAGCTCTAGAATTAGCTCCTGTAATAGCAAGCTGAAATTTGGTCTAGTTAAAGATCCTGGTTGTAAGGGGCAAAAACTTAATTCAGGACCTGAAAGCTGTCCCTTTCCTGGGTGTCCCATTCCTGCAGCTGACAAGGAGCTCTCCAAGGGGAGTAGAAGGGAATTGTTAAGCAGTTGTTAGTCTAGTCTGTAGCACACTTTCCATTTGTGGAGCAGTATTGAATTAACACTGTAGCATAGTTTAGTGTTCAGCCTTCCAGTCAAAATTTTGTATCAAAGGAGCAAATGCTAAACAGGTAAATAAAATTTTATTAATACATTGGGTTTTGTCTTTGTCMGACTGTATTGTTTCATCTTATTTTTACCTTGATATTGCTTTGTAGCTGAAGAAAGTGATCAACACTGATGTTATCTTCACAGTCCTGAATCAGTGGAAGTATTCTGAATCAGTGGAAGGACAGGACATAGTGCAGTGAATGCATGTCCTTGACATCTACCCAAAGTACTAYTGCACCCTTGTGGTCAGCTTCCCTTCTATGCAAACAGAAATTTTTGCTTTTGTGACATACCRGTTTCTAAGATTGCTTACCACTTGGTTGTCTGTTTCCATAGGTGAGCAATACCTGTTTGTGTATGGTGGCCGCTCTGCTCTGGAGCCTGTGCTCGGGGATTGGTATTTCCTGCACACTCGAGAACTCTCCTGCACTGTGGTAAGGATGTACTCCATGGTCATTAGAGTTRGAAGTGACTTCTAAACACCCAGCTTTTTTGTGGAATACAGCCTTTATAGAAGAGTGGAGGTTGGAAGATAGAAGAGTGGAGTGTGGTTATCTAGTCCAGCACTCTTGCTTGAAACAGGTCCAACTAGAGCAGGTTACTCAGTGTATTGTCCAAGTGGGATTACCTCCAAAGATGGAGACTCCACAATCTCCTTGGRCAACCTGTTCAAGTGCTTTGACCACCCTGATAGTACAATATAAGGGAGTTTCATGTATAAGTGAATTTTCTTTTCAATGTCASTTTATGCTCAGTGCCTCTTGCCCTGTTGCTGGATGACAGTGAGAACATACTGTCTGTCTTCTTTCACCTCTCCCATCATGGACTTGTCTAGTTGTATGCTGGACATTTTTGCAGAAGGATACTGTTAGAGACAGTATAAAAAGCTGTGCTAAAATTAAAACTATTTCCACATCTGCTGGTTTGCCTCAGTCAGCTAGATCGCTAAATGTGCCATAAAAGGAAATTGAGTTAAAGAGGACTTACTCCATTGTTTACTTACTGGCCACCAGCCTGATGTACTCCTCTTTACTATAACTCTTTTACGCCAACCTTGTACATAGCCCAGTTAGCAGGTGAGAGATGCATAATTTGAGGAGGTCACAAGCTAAATATGAGTAAGCAATATCCCGCTGTTGTGGTGGCTTACACTGYGTCTTCAGATATGTAACCGGAAATGTTATCTGTAAGACACGATTTGCTCCTTTTATTTTCTTCAATGTTCCTCATCTCAGCAGAACTTCAGTAAAATAGCCAGAACTGCTTGCTGAAAAAGAGGTGGACCATGGTGCGATCTTGCTGTATAGAGTTATGCAACAAGAGTGGCCAGGCTGCACGCCTCACAGAGGGAAGTTTTGAAGGACCTCTAGTTATTGAATCTGGAGAAGATTCAAGATAGAAATAAATCTTCTAATATCTAAAATCTGCTGCAGAAAAGACAAAAATTGTTCTTCTTTTTAACTTTGAGTAGTACAGGGAATCAACTGGACATTAAGGAAAGCTATTGATTGTGAAGCTAGCTGAGTGTGCAATAGGCTGCATAAAGAGGTGAAAAATTTTTGTCACTGAAGACTTTTTGGAASTATTACATGAACATCTATCCACATGATAACAGATAGAGTTTCATTTGTTTTAGGGGAAAGGTATGGACCATGTGGCCTCCAAATTTTTCTCTACTATTTATTTGCTGTGCTATTCCTTTAAATGCCTGATCTCATATATTTTCCTTTAGTGCTTGCACTAAAGATTTTCTTTCTGAATTTTAGTCCTACAGCTGAGCTTTTTATCCTGCTCTGTGGTTTGAGCAACTGATCATCTGCTTTGCTGATCACTGCATTAGTCCATGTAGTTGTAAACAAACTTGTAGTTTTCAGGTGTGTGTCTTGAGCAGAAAGCAGCATGCAAGAATGCAGATAAGGTTACCTCTAATAAATGAGCAGAAATAAACCCTCTAAAGACTGATGATATTGAATATAGTGAGAGCCAGAGATGTATTTGAGATAGTGTAAATGGAAGCACTTGTACTTAGCGGTCCCTAGAGGAACACGTGGAGAAGATTGAGTGTCAAAAAACTCAACCGCACAGGGAAAGGTCATTTAAAAGCCAAGACATTAAGCAGATACTTAGCTTGGCAAACTTTAGCCTTGGACTTGCCTTTATTCTAGATTGCTGTTGAGGGTCCAGTCCCAGAAAGCCGCCATTCTCACAGTGCCTGCAGCTGGGAAGGAGGAGTGCTGATCGCAGGAGGTCTGGGAGCAGCTGAGCAGCCCTTGGGTTCAGTTTTCCTTCTGAGGGAGGTTGAACATGGCTTTCAGTGGCAGACAATAGAGACGTACCCTCCTCTTGTCCCAAGGTAAGCAGAAGGCATTCATAGCATCATAAAATTTATTTGGAAGGGACCTTTTAAAGAYCAGCTAGTCCATCCTTGCTGCAATGAGTAGGGRTATCKTCAACTAGACCAAGTTGCTCAGAGTATTCAGTAGAGATTCTTCAGCCTGTCTCTACCAGCCTCCTTTGCTAAWGGAATTCAATCTCATTTTGAACTCACAGGTATTCACATACTGCACATGTGCATGAAGGCAAGCTTCTGCTTGTTGGTGGAGTGTGGTTTCATGCCTCCTCTGTGCCAGGCGTCACTGTCATTGACTTAATGACTGGTCTCTGTTTGGACTATGTGATTAATGTGGTAAGTACTGAAAATTTTCTTTAAGGATAAGCTGTGTCCTGTGAAGGAACATGGTGACTTCAYGTAGAGGTAGAATCTAATTCCAAAGTGCTGTTATCCAGCACAGAGAACATAGCAGCATTAAGAGAGGGAGAGATGGAATGTGCAGAAGACTGGAGCACGTAAAACTGCTCTGTTTCAGACAAGGGGCAGCAGAACTGAAATGGGCACATGGCATCACTTTGGGATGTCGGTGGAGGAAGGGAAGATAAACCGGAGGCTAAGTTACTGTTTATGGAGGTCTGTGGTATAATTTCACTGAGAACTTCTTGATGGAATCTGCAGTGTGCTATAGCTGCTGCCTGAAATACGAGAAAAAACAGCATGGAAATACTGGAAACTCCACTGAAACAAAAACTTCCTGTAAGGGTGATTGAACACTGAACAGATTGCTCAGAGAGGCTGTTGTATTTCCATTATTGGAAGTATTTGAAACCTGACTGGGCAAGGTACTGAAAAGCCTGCTGCAGTTGAGCCTGCTTTTGTCAGGGTGGCTGCACTGGGTAATGCTTGGAGGACTCTTCCAACTTCAACTATTCAGTGATTTTCTTCTAAGAATCACTCAAGAACAGTCATACAGGTGGTGTCACATGGCAGGATTTTGGCATACTCTGGGCAAAACTTGGTCTGCATCTGTGAGTAGCCCTCATCTCAGATAATACTGCCTGGAGTAAAAGACAAATCTTTTGGAGTGAATCYGTAAAAGGTCCACAAAGTTCATCAGAGAGCTGGAGCTGATGTCCTGTGAGGATACACTGAAAGAGTTGAGGGTGCTCAGCCTGAAGAGAGAGAGAGGGCTCTGGGGAGACATTAGAGCCTTTTCCAGTACTTAAAGGGGGCTTATAAGAAAGATGGGAACAGACTTTTTAGCAGGACCTGTAGTGATAGGACAAGGGGTGATGTTTTCCTGTAAAGGACAGTAGCTTCAAACTAGGTATATAAAAGAAAATTTTTTATGAAGAGTATGGTGAGGCACTGCCAAAGGCTGCCCTGAGAAGTTGTGACTGCCCCATCCCTGGAAACRTTCAAGATCTTGAGCAACCTGATTTAGTGGAAGATGTCCCTGCCCAGTGGAGGGGGCGTGGAATGAAGTGACCTTTTTTACGGTCCTTCCATCCCAAGCCATTCTGTTGTTCTACAAGAACATTTCTGCTGCTTGCCAAATTTTTATTTATCTTTTTTAGTAAAGAAACAACTTTCTTTTGATAACTATGCATATGGAATTTGTCCTTGGTGAAACTGGAATTTTTGAAGGGACAGTTTTTTATACTTAACAGTATTTGTGCATCTGGTTGACCTTGCAGCATKTTTACTAAGGGTATAAAGCACGAAACATGCTTAAATGTAGTTTAGTTTTCAATTGTCTGTAGCCTAAGTGGCCTCCTATCCTTTAGATAAAATAGGCTGCTCTCAATGGACAATGAGCAATGAGGATGGTTACAATGAGAACCAAGTTGTATCTAAAAGAATATAACTTTCTTGTTTATATTGAAYAAGYGGATGCAGATGGATTGGTAGCTGCSTTTGCTTATGRGCTGTTTGCTTTGACTGAGCTGAAACTCTCTAAGCTTTTGAACTTACCAGTGACATAGGTGAGCTCTGGAACACTCTGCCACAGGCCATGAATGCCAAAGGTTTACATTGAATCAAAAGGTGACTGGCTACCTTCTTGGGAGGAAAAGCATTAGGTTCAGGAAGTACAAAGACATTTTTTCTCATTAAAAAATCACTGAACTGCAAGTTGGTGGGTGGGTGTAGTAGAGGAGTACACCTCAGGCGTTACTCATTCTTGTATTCACTGTTTTTCCCCACCTTCAGGAGTGGTACAGTGGACCATGTGAAGTCCTATATGTTCAAAATCTCCTTTTCTTTTTCAGGAGCATCTGGAATGGCCATTAATGCTACATAATCATAGCAGTGTCTTTCTGCCAGATGAGAAGGAGGTGTTGGTCATCGGTGGTGGTGGAAACTGCTTYTCCTTCGGGACACACTTGAACCCAGAGCCTGTCTCACTGAGCCTCWGTAACATCCTAACCAGTCACTGAGTGGGACCAAGCAGGGTTGAACTATGGCATGACACTGTGGGGAGACATCTATTCACTGTAGGTCCAAAAGCAGCTGTCTTGGTTTTGAGACAATGTTTTCAGAGAGAAAACGTCACAGGGAAACGTTTCCTCTGAAATGAAAATAAATTTGATAATTTTTTTTTCCCACCAACAAGAAATAGATGCTGGGCAAAAAAGGTGAGGAGAAAAAAGGTAGTTTTATTAACAAAGAAAAAACAGTGCCCACAGGACACAGATAAAGAGTAACTGTTAGATAGCAAGGATACAGATAAAAAGTAACCTTCAGATATTCAAACAAAAAAAAACTCRCCRTGCAGCAAGGYAGTGACTCCGCCCCYGGGAAAAAGAAACAAAAGGAAAACCCACGTGKYGGTTATTGTAACAGTGRCAAAAGGGAAAAAACAACCAAAAGAAAAGAACGGTACCACAGTCCCAGCTTCCCAGTGGATGAATCAGAGGAGGGCTCGGCGTGCCTCCGCTGCCAGCCCGGTCCACCCCGGAATCCCGGACAGGATGGAGCCGCCCGGCCCCTCCCTCGGCGGGACCGCCCGAGGAGCAGCAGGAGACGCAGAGGGGATGTTTGAGGAAAAGCCGCCGAAGCCAACAAACTGAGCCAGCAGAAACTGCGACACTGTAACTCTGCTCCACGTAGCAAGCGAGGGCTCCCACGGCGAGAGGCAGAGAGAGAGAGAAGAGAGCGCAGCTCGAGCAGCCAGATCGCGTGGCAGCACTGGCCGTTAAACTGTCYGCTGTGGCTTCCCAGCAGCCCCTGCTTCTTCTTCCAGGTTGCATTTAAAGAGATAAACATTTTTTGGGCATATGTGCCAACGGAAAAGGAATACAGAACAAAACTGGCACCAAATATCAACCCAAGACATTCCACCCCTTATTCCATATCCGTTGGCTTTTACGCCCAAACTAATACATTCTAACTCTAAAGACAGACATATATATACATATATACAAAATAGTGGCAGTGACATACGGCAAACATTACATGCGGTTTTCATTCAGGATCAAATCCCCCTGAGGTAC